CTTAATTTAAAACATAAATTAAAAAACAAGTTGTATATGGCCATTGCCATAAAGAAACTAGGAACCAACGTACCAGGTATGAGTTGTTAAAATGTATATGGTTACAGTTGTTATGGATAATATTGTATATTTATTTATTTTATAGTGTGTGTAGTTTTCTATAATTTTAATTGTATTAATCATTGACACTACAGTGATGTTTTTATTTACAGACACGAATCTAAAAATCTAAAACTAATATTTTATGGTAGCAAGGGGAAGGATGCACATTAAATCAAAATATCTAGGTAGAAGAAAAAAATTTTGATTCAAATGATATTATTTTTTGAAGGTATTTACAAAATAGTGTTATAAAAAAATAATGCATCAGATAGACTAATTGATTCGATTTATTAATTTTAAATAATATTTAGTAATAACGAATATGTAAATTAATTGACTGCCTACCTAAACTATAAAATTATATATATATATATAATATTAAATTATATTATAATTGGTAATTAGTAGGGCTCGGATTTATATGTATTAAAAAAAAAAAAATCAAAATATGTAACTATATAGGTATGTAATAACAAATCGCCTTATATATGATGAAAAAATTAAAATATGTAATATAAAAAAAAATTAAGACACTTGAATAGAAATTATTATAAAAATAAACCATATTCATCTTGATCTTGATAGCAATGAGATACTATATACATGCTCAAATTTTCAAAGTTAACCCCTATTTGCATATTGTACCAAAAATGGCACATATTAGTTTTTACTGTTTATTTCAATAAGAAATTATCCAATTCCAATACATCTTACATGGCCGAATTCGGCACAAAAACTAAACAATTCTAAGATACTTCTATCTAGCAATAAAATGACGCACTATAATTTATAAAATCTTAATCAAATATTTTTTGCAGCATTATCAGATTTTGAGTTTGTTTATTTACTTATTAATAACAGGACTTTTTTGTCATCGTTAATCAATCGTTAATTAATCAAAAAAAATACTGGACTGTAAGTTTTTTATTGCAGATTCTAAAAAATGTAAGTATATATTTATAGCTATAATAGTAAGTTATATCCATAGGCGTGCGCACAGGGTGTGCCGTGGCACACCCTGTGGCCCGTGGGTTTTCTTACGGCTTTTATTCATTCGTGGACTTAGTTTAAATTTTAAGCTACAAATAGTAAAAATTAGATAAAATAAATTAGGATCTCCATTAAAAATGACAATATATTAAGCCAAATTTATGCTTCTTTTTAGAAGAGAGGGTTAGGTGAGATTTGGTAAGGCTTATATAAAGGAAAGTGGTTAAATTTTCTTCATGGCACACCCCATACAATATTCCTGTGCACGCCTATGGTTATATCCAACATAGACTATGTGCCATATATGTGCCACTACTCTCAATAAAGACTCAGATAATTTGGCCATATTTGGCACTTCATGTACATAATGTATGATAAATTAACTCAAAAATAAAAAAATATTTTAATTTTACTTTTTATTTCTACTTTCCACTTAATAATTATACCTAATAAAAAGCTATTTACTAGGGAACGCACTAGTTTATATACTTACTTTCTTGAGATTGCACCTATAATTATAATAGTAGTGCAATATTAGTTTTATAGAAATAGTTCTTGTTAAAAATTGGTACTTATAAGATGTGGCATTATGAGCAGTGGCGTAATTAGGAATTTGGTTTAGGGGGGGATTATTGGTTTTAGCAAAATCTGTACACCTCATACAGTAACCTTCCCACGCCCCCAGAACAAAATTTTTAATAATTTAAAAATTTAAATTTTAATAATAATAATAATAATAACAATAGTAATCGTAATAATAATAATAATGATAATAATCATATTATCACAATATAATAAATAAAAAAAAAGTTTTTGGGAGGGGGGATTCAACCCCCTAAACCCTCCCTAATTACACCACTGATTATGAGCTATATTAATATTAATTAGTATTAATTGCTATTTTAATACGAAAAATAAAAAAACTTGTAGCGTGTGGCGGCGTCAGATGTACCAATCCCTTTAATGTTCAAACTATAAATCTATACTTCGTTACTATTTGTTTTTGTACCTATCGTATATTGATGTTGTGTAGTTTGAAATACTACGATTAACAACACTCGTAATCACATCACTTTTTCCATTAAAATGTATTACGTATTAACGTTGAACGTGACGTTATGATTATAATAATATTGTTTACAAACTAGTTGTTTTTCATTGCGATAGTAGTGTCGTAAACATTGCAGTTTGCACTGCACTACCATTCTTGCAATTAATCCGTGCAATTTAACGGTTTAACCACAATCCAGATGCATATTGTCTATTGCAAATGCATAGACGTGTGTGGTGTGCATCGAGCTTAAACTCGAATCGTTTTGACTAAAATTGTGTTTGATCTGAAATCATTCGGCCGACGATCTTATTGTTTATCAAGTTATGGATCCTTTCCGTTAATTCATTAATACTACAATTTTCGGTTTCCGTTACTTCACTACCGCTCGATAAATTTTCTATTGCTCTAAAAACTGTATCTTATCTTGTCTAATCTAAATAAAATTAAACGCATACCTAGATTAATGGTTAATGACTGTTAACCCGAAGCAGAAGGTATCTGGTTTTGATTGTTTGCATTTTTTTTTTATCATTTTATTACGCATAATATTATTATCAACTAATAATTATTTTAGTTTTATATTTATCATTTATAATGCTACATATTTTTACAAATGTTATGAATCCCTTATTTTTCGTTAGTAGCAAGTCAATTTTAATTTCTTCCAATTCTGTTACTCTTCTGTTATATTTATACAGTTTATCTTACCCATATAAAATAATTTTTAATCCATCATCAAGATATAATGTAATTTTTTCTAGTTTAGTAATTGTTTCAGTGAGAAAAAACAATTACTTTTTAAATAAGCTACCTATATAATTTTTTAAATGTTTGTCTTCAAACAATTATAATTAGTTTTATAATATTGTTACAAAATTAAAATAATAATTATTTAACAATATTATAAAAACTTAAAAATTTATTTTTAAAAATGTATAAGATTTTCAAAAATCTATTAATATGTAATTATATTCAAAATATGCAAAAAAAAAAATGGTTTTATTTAATCGAGGATAAGTCAAATTGTGGACATGTTTGACAACCTATTTGTATTTAAGGTAAAAAAACATGCAAGTGCATATAAATCCTAGCCCTGGTTATCTATATTATACTACTATCCCCACGTAAATAAATATGCATTGTTAATCCACAGGTGTATACAATTAAAATGTACCTATGTAATATTATTTAACTATAAAAGTATTTTGTAATTGTTGAAATGATTTAATCAAATTATACAAGTTGACAATCAAATATTAATTAAAACGTTAAATGTCGGTACAATATTGTTATAAAAATCATTATTCATTATTATTCAAATCATTATAAAAATCAAATTATTCCTGCATATTTAGATGAAGTATAATAGTAATATAATTAATATAATTATTTTGATTTTAGTACCTTTGACTCTTCGTCATAATTCATGATATACTTATTTATGTACTCCTTATTATTAATTATAATTAGTGTTAGTTTTAAGTTTATTTTACCACACATTAATACCAAATTGTATCAATGTATATCAAATTAATAAACTTTTGATGAAAACTACTTGTTTTATCTCAAATCCATTTACTGATCAGTGATAAAAAAATATGGACCTGTTACAATCATAAACTTTTATAAAATTCAATAAGAATGCAGAAGAAGAATCCAAATAATTATTAGAAAGCTCAGCATCCTGTATAATTACAAAATTAGTGTTTACACAAATTTTTTTTTATCAATTGTAATCGGTCAATGGTTAATTTAAGGTTTTTATAAAATCATTTTAAATGACAACCACCTATTTTAACCACTAATTATTTTTGGCCTATTTTTTAATGAATTTTTGGTAGTTAAACCAACTTATTTAATTTTAAATTGAATTTAAATGTTTAATTTTATAGTGCCCAATAAAATACAATAATTACTAGATTACGTTACTAATCCAATTTAAAATATCATAAATAATTAATTTGGACAACATTTAAACTAATTTTAATTAATTAATAACTAAATTTATTTATAATTTGAATAGGAATTAAATTTACTGTTAATTATTGATAAATGCCAATAGATCCATTAAATGTCACAAGATAAACAACATGCTTGCTTATTTACGCTTATTCTGCTATAAGTTATAATTCATACTCAAATTAAAGAGAAAATTATTCAGTAGATAAAATTATAATAACATGTAAACATCATTTTAATAAATAAAAGTGAAAATATGAAGCCTTAACAATCCTAAAATAATTATATTCAGTTACAGACAAAAAAATTGAAAATCACTCACATTTTGTAGTTTTTAAGTTAAATTGCTGTAACTTGGTCAATTTCGGACTTATAAAGTTGGTTACCTACCAAAAAATAGGCAAAAAATAATTAGTAGTTAAAATAGGTGTTTGCCATTAAAAAAAAAAATTGTACTGCGCATGTGTGTATATATTTAAATTAAACAAATTAAAAACTCATAAAAATACACATTTTTATGTCATAAAAACCAACAAAAAATCAGAATTTAAATTACAGCGCTCTACGCAAAGATATTGAGTGTTCTCAGTTAGCGTTTACACACTGTATATTCAAAATAGTATTGAGGTAACTATAATCTTTAAGTAATATTAACACTATATTTATATATAAATATCTCTTAATTTTATTATTTTTGTGATTATTGTACTACTAAAAGTATTAACTATTATAATTATCAAAAATATACATACTTTTAATTACTAATATTTCTTGTAACTTAAAGTATAATTATCATTAATAAGTAGAAAAGTTTAAAGAATTAATAAAAGTATAATTTTTATATAAACAAATAATAACAATGATATGAATAAAATAAATAAGATTATTTGGCCCCTTTCTTGGTGATTTTTAACAAAATAAAATAAATTGATATTTTAGTTATTATGGAATATCAAAACAAGGATACAAACAATGGGTAATTGACAGGGTATTTGTTCCTAAAGCTTTTGTTACTCCAATAATAACTATATTTGGCATATAATGCCATATTCTAAATCTATCTAATAATAAAATAAAAAAAAATTTAAATTAAAATAATTCATAGTGCTAAAATAACAAGTAAACAAAAATGGGCAGAGGTCACAAATTTAAAAGTAAGACTTGAGTTTGTAAATTCGCATGTAATAAATTAATAAGTTCTGTATTGTGATGGACTGGTGAGCTACTCAATACACTGTATCTAAAAGTTTTTTTTTATTTGTACAATAAACTAGGCCATATTCAAAATACTTGATTTAATAAGAATATATAATATGCATGTACACTAGTTACACAATTACATGTGAACATACAAAGTTCAGTCTTACTCTAAGGCACAACCATACATAATAATAACAATACAATAATAACATACATAATCAATTAAATATTAGATATAAAACGTAATGGTCACTAAATGGTAAGTTTCTTATTATAAAATTATTGATTATATACATAATGGAAAAGTTCCCTATAATTATGAACATAATCAAATGGATAGTTATAGTTTAATTTTTTTGTAATAAGATAAACACCACCTAAAGCAACAGTCTTTTCGAGCACTAATAAAGTAAATTCTTCTATTATGGTTGTTTGTTGTGAATTGTAATTGTTAAGTTGATTTATAAATCCTTTTTTGAGCAAATCCCAGCTTTTCCAAACAGATCCAATACATACCACGTGCAATCCACCATTTTCTTTATGTAAAACCTATTAAGAAACAAACAAATATAATTTAAATTTAACTTCATTTTCTAATTTATAAATTGTAACATACAATTTTTTTAATTCCTTTTAATGCCTATTCATTATAGTGTATTGTGGTTTAAAAGTAACGTGCTATTTTAGTTGAAAACCAGCAATTTGATAAGTTGTTAAAATAATACATTTTTAAGAAATTCTATTTTTTAACCATACAATTTAAAATTCTCTTTGACAATACCCTACTTTTTTTAAATGTAGAAAGAATAAATTTTACTAATTTATAATTAAAACAATTAATAAATTTGCTAACAATGCCTTATTTAATACCCAAATAAAGAAATATAAATTAAAATAGAAAATATGAATAGACAAAAATAAGTGAATTAAATACAATTTATAAAAGTCGGAACTTGATTTATTTTATACATACCCATGAACTACTACTTTCCCATTTCTCATACAAAATTAAGATAATCATGTTCTAAATTATAATTATCCACCCAAAATAATATCTTGTGTTACCTTTTATTTATAATGCACTATATACTAGAGCTTGTGACTTAATGAATGTAGATTATTTAAGTTTGTAAAATATATCTAGTTGAAAAATAATTTTAAAACAGAATCTTACTTTGTCAGCACCAGGATATAGTGATTGTATAAATTTTGCTAATTCTTTACCAGCTTCATCAAATATCCAACAACTTAGTTCGTCTCCATTTTCAGCCAATTCTGATATTGTTTTACATAAACTTGCTATTTCAGATTTTTCTTTTTTTTCGCCATAAAATACGTTCAATAAATCTAAACTAAAGTAAAATTGATATTTGATTATTGAGTTCTAGATTTTGGTATTAAATAAATCTATATATAATCTTAATAATATGTACGATCGGAATAGAAATAACTTATTCAAACTAATTAGATTCTATGCTTATATAGTTTAAGTTAGAGAGCCTTGATATTAAAAAGAATGGCCAACTGGTGTGATAGCAGCCATTAATCGTCTAAACATTTCCCGCCTTTTTTAAAATTTAACCGCTTCAGTTAGGGGCATTATACACTCACTTTTTAGTTAATAACCTTATTATAGCTAATGTTGTAAAGTATTTGAGTATTGGTACTCAAATACTTTTACAAGTATTGAATAAGTACATATTTTAAATACTGTTTATTAATAATTATTAAAGTGCATTTCAAAAACTATTTTATTCTATTGAATACTTTTTTTCCAATTAAAATCAGTATCGAACAAAATTATTTGAAATATATTAACATAAAATTTATAAATAATTAAGATAAAATAATGTTTTTTGATAAACATTAAATTTACATAATTGATGAAAGTATATATGTTTATGATTTGGTAATGTATTTACCAATAAAAAGTCTTGTTCTGCATTGCTATTATGAATTTGAATATAATAGGTATTCATAACATTGGTTATAGGTTTGAATAAATTTTTATTGAAAGAATACAACTCTAATTGGATAAGCTTTTTTGACTATTAGTTTTCCAATAAACTGATATACAACCATTTATATATATATTTGTCCCAAAAATTATACTTCAGAAAAGTTAAGAACAGTAATAAACACTAAAAAATCGTCATGAATTATTAAAATGAATTAATATTGAATAATTTCAACGAATAAACTAATGCATAAAATATAAATATTTGGAAGATTAATGACGTCCATAATCAATGATAACAGTCAGCCAATAGAAAACGTTCATCGAGTTGGCCACTCTTTTATACATCAAGGCTCTCTAATTTAAGTGATTCATAATTAATAATGCATGTTGTTATGTATATTAGGTTGGAATCAGACAGTCACATAAAGATAGAAATTTAATCAATTTTAAATTTAAAATATAATTAAATGGTTTAGTTTTTAATGTATTCTCTACAGTTATTATACTTATTTATTATAATAAATCTAATTAATTAAAACTACTAAGATCAGAATACTATAAATTGAAGGATAACTTTGAGCAAAGTTCATATCACTGGCCAACTTAGTAAAATTGATGTAATAATTATTATAATATAGAAAATTTGAATTGAAAGATAGTATTTTAATGTATATATTTCATAACATATATCATAATTATTTGATGAAAAAAAAATATTAATAAATTATAAAATTAAATCATAATTTTAATATTTATAAACAATTCAAGAATTACATTATAAAAAAAAAAAATTAAAATGCTTTCTTTCCAACAAAAATAAAATTATTTTGATTATGTTCTATATACACTACACAATTTATAACATGATTAGTCATGAAATTATAAAATCATAATTTAAAATAAATTTTGATGCATTATTTAAATATAGTTTACATGGATATTTCAAGTATTTTAGAAATGCAATCATAATATATACTTACACTTTATCAATATTAAAATGTTCCTTTATTGCTTCCCATACTTTATCAATTGAGTAACCATTAGGAACATAATTAAAATCTTCTAAATGATCAAGGCAAATTTTTATGCTTTTGAAAGCTATCCAAAAAGCTAAAACATGAGAAAATGAGTTATGAAAAATGTTAATAATTATAAAAATACTTAATTATAACATATGTATCATGAAAAAAATTAGTTTTTAGTATAAAAATATCTTTTAGGTAATATTTATATGACAATATTTATAAAAAAAAGTATAACTATAATTATAATAATTTAAGATTTTTATCAAATCTACGAAGAAATTGTATTTCTTACCACTGCCTTCATCACCAAGTAAATGACCATAACCACCACATCTTTTTATAGACAAATCTGGATTTATAAGTAAACTGTTTGAACCCGTACCAGAAATAATAACAGCTCCACCTTACATCCAATAAATATTGAATTAATTTTAATCATAATAAATATACAATCATTTCACTGTATAAGAATAAATGTATAGTATTTAATTTTTGTAATATAAAAAATAAAAAGTTTTGTATATACCTGATTCACAAGCTAATGCGATTGGTGCTAATGTATCACTAACAACAATTACTTCATGAGTAAGATCTGGATAAGATTCTTTTAGTTTATCTTCAAATTTTTTACAGAATGCAACACTTTCACATCCACTTAAACTTAATCCCTGTAAAAAATTATAATTTAAAATAGAACTAAAAATATAACTATTAAATGTATACGAACCAATCCATTCAGTTTGATATTGTTGTTAAGATTAGCTTTTTCAAGAGCTTCTTTAATTAAGTCATTAACTCGAGACAAACAAGGATCAATCCCAAGAATCTAAACCATAAAAAAAACTATCAAATTTTTTATATAAACAAACATTTTTCAATAAGTAATACATTTATGTATTATTATTGGCATTTTAATTTCATAACTCAGATAACCTCTTGAAATATTCAATTTGACGTAATTTATCTTATCATAGGTAAAAAAAAAAACCAAGATTAAATTATTGAACATATTAATTCATTATACAGATCATAATATCTGTAGTAAAATGTTAATATCACTATGTGTTTAAGTTTTATAAAGTTTTATAGGTCAACAGCTACATAAATAAATATACATAAATGTTATAAGTATAGATATTTGTATGATATGATAAATTTATTTATTAATTTCAAATAGTATCTAAAGAGCAATAAATGTTTAAAAAAAAAATGCTAAATTAATGAATTAAAAATTTTGTACATGTATGAATAACTAAAGTATTTATAACATGCATTAAATTTAAGATAAAACAAAGTGTACCATGAATTATAAATTACTTAAAAATGCCTGAATTATGTTTATTTTTTCAACTAAATTATTTGTTTATACATATATAAATTATAGGATTTTGTTAAAAATATATAAAATTAATTGAACATCTCTGTATTTATCTAAGTATTATTTATTTAGAAATATAAATTATGCTAAGTATAAATTGTTACATATTTTTTGAAGGCTAGTAAAATAAAAAATATAATTCTTGGAAAAAATGAATTACAAAATAATACTAATTTTGAAAATTTTTCAACAAATTAACATAACATTTTAAATAAACCTTAGAAAATAAGTACTTATTTACTTTTCCCAAATTTTTTATAGTTTTATCTATTAATTGTTACATTTATTATCAATTATTTTTTAATACAAAAACATATATTAATGATAATAAATAATGATAGATTAGAATAATTATTAGTATACAAACATTTTAATAAATAAATAATTATTGATCATTTTCATAATAAAAAGCATTTTTATAGGCAAATATTAACACTGAATGTCCTTTTTTTTTTTTTTTTTTTAATGGTAATTCTATTTACAGTAGTATAAAGTGTATAATGAATAATTGTAAGGAACTCAAATAAAATATTCATTATAAATATAAATTGTGATTATAATATATATGACATACACAAAAAAAAATAATGATCTCAAATAACATTATCTTTATAATAAGAATGATCATAATAATAATGAGATTAATAAATAGTTAACAAATAATGATACTTGTTAACTGTTAAGAAAACTCATTTAATCCTTGTGATAAGATTATTTTCGAAAATAATGAAAATGATTAGACGTTTTTTAAAATTAAATAAATAATTTATTATATCATAGATTACTGAGATGAATAATAATTATTCGAAAAGAAGCAATGAACAAAAGTGCGTGCGTGTGAAAACATGGTTTAGTAGTCGAATAATTAACTTACCCACGGGTTCGTGCCTTGTCCTTTGATCTCAGCCAATATGTCTCCATTCCCGTTGGTTATGACGACTGTGGAAACCGAAGCGCCCCTATTTCATAATTATAGTATATTCTTAAATATTAGTATTTAAATGGACAGTTCAAGTAGGTACTAAAAAATCGTTTAGTTTCAACTTACCCTTCAATGCCGCCGAAAAACGCGTCAGTCATGTTGTTAACGGGATTAGGTAGTACAATAAAATAAGACCGTTCGAGTCAAAGAGATGTTAAAAAATAAAAAAAACAAAACGGGTAGAACAAGTTGCGCGCAATTGAAATAAATATGCGGAAAGATACTATTGTGCGTACACGCACGCCACACGCAGAATATAATAATAATAAATATATATAGTATTTATCAGTATTAATTGAGCGTAAATCGTTAAAAAATCGAAAGCAAATGTTCGCATATATATTGTATATATTCTGAAATTTTATGTTGTACAATAATAATATCGTATACTTCACACCGTTACATTAAGTACAATAGTAATATTATTACTGAAATAAGGTGAAATGGTTTCAAGAATTTCTAATACCGCAGGCTATACAGCGAAGTCGGACAGTACAAACTATTGGCAATTTAATGCTACGCAGCACCAGTGAACATCACACGAGGACACGCGAACGAATGTGTGTTGTATGCGAGTACTATACCTATTAGTATATAATAATAATAGTAATAATAATAATTTTATATTAAATTTTTATTGCGGAGCAACGTCGGCGGCGGCGGAGACTTTGATAACACGACCGGAACACGTTACTCGCGTGATATCAGTTGGTCGGCAGCGGTACGGTTAGTCGTACAACGGTGATAGTGGTGGTGGTGGTGAGAATTGTTTCGTAGTAGTCTGAAGTAGTTCAGTTTTGTATTGTATATTATGCGGCGATTGTAGCGGCTCTCCGGAAGTGATTACTGTGCAAGAAAGTTTGGTACTCGCGGCAGTCGTCCCGATACATTGAACATGTTCTCGATCTGTCACCGACCTGTATAATATATATATATATTACGGGTAAAGTTCGAAAATTAGTAGTTTACACGTTACTCGGGTAAAATACACCTTATTCATATGAATAGTATGATGTGCACATTATCCAGTGTGCTATGGATAAGGTATGAAGTAGAAAAAAAAACCAAATCATATTAATTCAAAAAAAAATTAAATAAGCAAATTATATATAATTTAGTTACTATTTTACATATAAAAAAAATTTTAAAAAATTAAATATAGTTATTTATTAGAACCGTTCAGATTCGGGTGGCATTTTGAATTGCAAAATATTTCTCCAAATTTACATTTACATGTACTTTTATTTTTACACAAACATTTTTTAAAATTTTGCCCACCGAATAGAGATTGTGTATTAGCTATTTTACTTAAAGATTTTTTTTGTAGCCGACACTTATAAAACGTTTATTAATGGTTCATTATGATTTTTTTGTTTTTGATCACGTTTCTCATTTCAGATAAAATGTATGTCATAATATTTTGATTTCGTAATAATTTAAAGAATTCTTATTCTTTTCATTAATTCATTTATTGAATAAAATTTCTCTTTTTAAGAAGACAAGTTTTTTTTTTTTTTAAATAACTAAATGATCAAACATTAATAAACCAAATAAGTGAAATCGAAAACAAATAGCACCGCACTGAAATTTAAAATATCAATTCACATGATTTATCATAATGTACAATTTATACTCACATTTGATCGTATTTTATTAATATCATCCACAATTTATATTTTTTTGTATTTTATTTTATGAAAACACTTGGTCTACTCAAAGATAGATAATAATACAACTTACCCGGTTAATGTACCTACAAAATAAACGTTCTACAGATATGTTTGCTTTTTTTCAATAAACATGAGTTGTGTTCACATTACCCAATTTTTGTATTCTACCCGTAACATATACATATTATCCTGATATATAGGACGACCAACGATTTATGTATAGTGTTTTTTATTTTAAAAATTTTTGTACATAATGTATTAATTAACTATATTAGTATTTTATCGTACCTATACGATTATACCTACACCGATACGTTTTAGACCAAATTTCAAAATAAATATTGAAATCAAAACAATAGCGAAAATACAAAACTAAATTATACGCATTATAAACATTTAATATTAACATACATTAGTATAGTATAGAAGTATAGAATACATATACTCAAGTTGTTTAAAATATTTAAATCATATACATTCGTTTAACGACTTGTTGTTGTAGGTATTATCTTATTGATGAATGTTGCTTTAGCGGTCCCCGTTTACGATTAGCGCCTTTCCCGATGACCGGTGTTTATTTCAGGTTAGGTTTTCCCCTTCTATCCTAGGGGGGCATGGGGGCAACTAGAGCCTAAATATTGGGGGTGCTCAAATTGCTGAAAATAAAATTGAATGGTATTCAATTGTAATTACTATAGATTATATAAATCTGAAAAAAAATAACTGGAGCACTAAATGTGAATTCAGGGCTGCTAAAAACCGTCTTGCGCCCCCCTAGTTGCAACTATGGGGTGTATCGTACATTTTCGGGGGTGAGGGGAAACAGTAGTAACGGTATGTCGTTGGAGTAAATAATTAATAAATAAATACATTTTTTCGAGGGTAATACTCTCGGTCATTCCTTGAAATAAACACTGTCGATGACCACCGAGAATATTCGTGGGTCCAGAAAATTGATACAATGACCATTATTCATTTTTCGCGTAGCAATGCAATGCTATGTTAATTTTCCTAATCGGACTAAAAATGATACATCATAACTAGATAACTATGCACATATTTACGTCCAGTGCCATATTTAGAAATTTCAGGACAGGGACATCACATATTTTGCCATCCCCTGCCCCAAAAAAATTTTTTATGATTATTATAATTTATTTTAACGATTTCTGTATAATATAAATCATAGTATATTATGTATATATACTTTATATGAAGTATATATTTCATACATTATATTACAATATATGAAATTTAAATTAACATACAGAAAAAAACCAATAAACTAAAAAATTTAAAACTTTTTTTTCTTGATTCAGAAGTATTAAAGTCATTGATAATTTTTAAAAGGCTAATGAAGTGATTATTTCAGCTTCAATTGATTATACTACTAAAGCTGTATAGTAATATTGTACCATTGTAAACAGTAAATAGTTTTTTATTTTTATTTTTTTAGTATTAAAAATAAACGTTCTGTACGGTTTTAAACGAATATTTGAAGTTTGTTTTTACGTATATCACGGATCGTTCGGGTTTATTGCGTCCTCAGTGTGTGTATCGTTTTGAAGCTCTATCGAACGAATCAATGAAAATTAATCGTCTGTTCGTACGCAGTATAATATGTTTTGTTTGTTTTGTTTTTCTTTCACGTAATTTATTCGTCCTAACGATTACCTATGTATTAAACCTATCTTTATAGGTACACATATAAACCCTCGAAACTATACGAATATTGCACATAACATTTATATTGTTCGTGTGGAATGAGTATAAATATATCTGATTGCAACTCATATGTTAAACATATTTAAATACGTATTGTTGTTTTAACTTATGGCTAATAAACTAATATATTACATCACATTGATGTGTTATCAGTTATCACGCAGTTTATTTGATACTTTAAACTGTAGACAAAGGCATAGAAAACGAGTTCAATGTTGCTCATTTGTCCAAGGCGAAGGTGCTCACAAATTGAGTATATACGCACACACATATATATGTATCTGATATAGCCTTTTTTTCCAAATTGTTATTATTTATTATTTACATCAAACTAGGAAAATACATATATGTGTATATATTTATGAAGTTTACCTCCCCCCTCTATAAAAGGTTTATTATAAAAAGTTTCAAATAGTTGAGATAAACAACAGTTCGTCAATATACATTATTAGATCATCATAGTTAATTGACTCTTGCCTTTATTAGTGTCAGAAAGAGAGGGAGTTTAGAAGTCATGGATAAGCGTTAATATTTTTTACATTAACGATAATAAAATAAAATTGAAGTTTCATTAAGTTAGATATTATTGAGAATAAGTCATTAATTTTATTAAATACGATGTTTTACAATTATTACAGCCTTCACCTGACCACAAAGAAGATTAACACTGAGTAATGTATTCCGTATACTTATTATTTAATATAAATAGATACTATTTTATATTTTATTACATGCCTTTTTTTATTAGAATAAGTATTATATCTCATTTTTATTTTTATAAATAATTAATTTTAGTTGGTTGATCATGTTATCATATATATATTAGTACTTATTTATATTATTCAGTTACGGTACATTAAAAAATAAAAAAACGAATAATGAGATGAATATCAGATATAATATAGTCGGGTAATACAAAGATCAAAATCAAAATATTAATAAATAGGTATGCTGTATATATTATTTATTTATTTACTTGCAATCTACATGACGGTTTGATTAACTAAGAATAGGGGTGCTATAATGTCAATATAATATTACAAGATAGAATTGTGCTCTAAGGATTTTCAGATCTCAATTGGTAACTCAACTAGCTTGATACTAACTAATGCTAACTTGAAATAAAATAAGAAAATATTATGCTATTATATTATAGTAATTGAATAATTAAGTATACATAGAATAAATATAACAGATAACGATCCAAAGTGTATAGATGGAGTTGATTTATTTTCTGAGCTGATTATTTTTGTTGCTAAAAATACAAATTCGCTCCAGACATTAATAAAGACAACTTACGGATTATTTCTTAATTTAATCATTGCTTTTAGAATGATGCCTATGACATCAGATAGTGCGAAAAGAAGCTTTTCAAAGTTAAAACTAATAAACATATATTTGCGCAATAGACTAGGGCAAGAAAAACTTTTTGAACCAGCATTAATATCGATTGAAGAAGAAGTATCCTCTACAATGGACTATAATCATCGATATTTTTGCTTCAAAAAAATCAAAAAATCAAATATTTTGATAAGTTTTAATCATTTATGTATTTCTATTTTTCTTTATTTTAATTTTAAATAATATTAAGTAAATATTCAAATGTAGGAAGCCATTAATAAAAATAACAGGAATAATTATTTTGTCCAGTGCCCCGTACAAACTAGGGTCAGTCATAAATAGACAAACATATGAAATAGAAGGGTGGTAGAGGAAGTGCCTTAAATGTTTTCATTGTTTACAGGTTGGATACTCAGCACTATTCATAGCACAAAAATACGTGTTACTTAAATTCGACGATAAGAATTTAAAATAAGATAAATTAAATATTTAACTCAGGAACTTAGAAAATTTAAGAATAATATTATAAATCTTACGCATGTATTGCAGTCTGCAAAAAACTTGGATTACCACTATTAAAATAAAATGTTTGATGCCTGGCCACATTTAGGAAGTTAATTAAAAAACATATATAACTTTAAAATTGCATTTGAAATCTTAAAAAAAGTTGCAATTTAGGTTACTAGTATTTTGAAGTTATTGAAATATTAATATTTTATATTTTTACTAAGTCCATTAACATTTTAATAAAATGGAATCGACATGGGACATATTTTAAACACGCAAGATATTCAACGTATTTAAGAAAATGTATTAGAGTACTAGATATCTAAATAGCATGTGCATACTCTACTGGTAAGTTGGTCAATGATTTTCAAGTACCTACACGAATATCAATAATATTGATATTGAAAACACTCTAA